TGCTTGCCATAGAGGTTGTCGTCGAGGTTGTACGCTTCGTCGATGACAAGGACCTTGCCGCGGGCCAGTTCCAAGCATGCTTGCGTCTTGGTTTGTGTCTCGCCGATGTACTGTCCAATCAAGTCGCTCGCGGTCTTGAGCACCACGTCACCGCTCGAGAGCAAGTGGAGCTCCTTGAGGATGCGGCCATAGAGCGCTGCACACGACGTCTTGCCCGTGCCAGGATTCCCCAAGAAGAGGCGGTTCAGCATCAATGGCAGCGGCGATTGGCCTGCGAGCTGTCGTATGTAGTTCTTCTCACAGTGCTGAACGAGGTCACGGACGCTCTTCTTGATCGAGGCCCACCCAATCTTGCCCTCCAGCTCGTCCAAGACATGCTCGAGCTTGGAGTTGTGCAGAGGGTGGTCGCCAATGACGTCGTCGACGCCCAGCACAAGTTTTATGCCGTCAAACGTCGGGCGGGCCATGGCGCTCATGGTGGCGGCCTCGACTTCCTGGCGCACCGACCGGGCATTGCCAAAGTCTTTCGAGTGCACGCGCATCGCAAGCCGCTTGGACACGATCGTCGCGAGCTCGGGCGGCGCCGTCCACCCGCGCGCTTGTAGCTGCGTGTCCCAGACTGCGTGCAGCTCGACTTCGCTCATGTCATCAAACGCGATGAGCTGGAAGCGGCTCTTGAGACCCGGGTTGACACTAAAGAGCTTGGTTTCCATTTCATCTTCGTAGCCCGCCAGGATGATTGTCAGATCATTCCGGTACTTTTCGGCGAGCGCGGCCAGCTCCGAGACGATCGCACGGCCTTTGAAGTCCTGGGCCGGGTCCAACTCGAAGGCCTCGTCGATGAAGAGGACGCCGCCTTTGGCCGACGCCGCGAGCGTGCGGAACGCGTCGACCTTTTGGTCGAGTAGCGATTGCGCACGGACTTCGACAAACACATTCTTTGCGCGCAGACCCGACTCGAACAAGAGCGTCGCAAAGAGCCGCGCGACCGTCGTCTTGCCCGTGCCCGCGTTCCCGACGAAGCAAAAGTTGAGCGAGAGCGGGTTCTTGGCCTGCAGCGTCGGCGACATCTTCTTGCGCGCTCGCGCCGACTGGAAGAGCTGGATGGCTCCGCGCTTGACCTTGGCAATGCCAACCATGCCGAGGAGGGTCTCCATGGCGGTCGAGCGCACGCTCTCTGCGTCGACAAGCGCTCGCCAGAGCTGCAACGGGTCCGTGGGCGACCACGTGGGTGTTGGTGACGCGGGCGAGAGTGCACGCGCTTCGTCGGCTGTCAACCACGCATCGCGAGCCTTGGGGTACTTGGACGCGAAGAGCTTGACGTACGTAACGTCGCGCGTCCAGCGTCCCATCGCGAGTAGCAAGAGCGGGTGCGCGTCGACCTGCTTGCCTTGGACGGAGCGCAAATAGGCTTCGAGCTCGGTTAGTGTCGTGGTCTCGACCGGCAAGTGGAGCAGCTCCAGCGCATACAACAAACTCAGTTCTGGCTGGTCCATGGATTCCTGAAGCGTGCGGAGGTAGCGAAGGCCTGCGAACGGGAACGGCCGTGTGTCCGATGCTGCTATTCGCGGTAAAAACTGCAGCTTCTTGGTGAGCTCGAGCTGCACGGCATGCGGAGTGGACGCCGACACGAGCGTCGTGCCATCCCAGTGACTGGGAAACGGAAAGCCCGCGAGGCGCGTTGTGGCCAAGAGACCATTGAAGTCGTCCGGCGGCTCGTCGCCTGCGTTCGAACTAGAGTCAGCAGTGCTCGTTGGGGGTGCCGTCGCGACCGTACCAGACTCTGTCGGCCGCGTCGCTGTTGGTGACGGCGCTGCTGACGATGGTGAAGCGCCAAACGAAAACGCAGTACCAGGTGGAGCCGGTGGTGGTGTCGACGACAACGGAGGGCTGAACGAGAACGCCGTGCCGGTTGGAGCTGGTCCACCAAAGGAAAAGCCCATCGGCTGCGTCGCTGCTGCTGATGGCACAGACGACGGCGATGGAGCACCAAACGAGAAAGCAGTACCAGATGACGTTGTTGGTTGTGCTCCCGACGACAACGGAGGGAAAAATGAGAACGCCTGGCCGGTTGGAGCTGGGCTACCAAACGAGAAGCCCGTCGGCTGCGTCGCTGCTGGTGCCCCAAACGAGAAGCCAGACGTCGT